TGCTTCCATGGGCGCCAGAAGGTGGGGAGGGTTCGTCGAACTCGTTCTGCCAGGAAGCACTTCTCGCTTCCCCTCTGTTTTCCTCTTTCAGGCCATGAGACGTCAGTTTGCTCTCATCTACACTGCTCTCCCAAATCTAAAAACTGCAAGAGGGCTGGATAAAAGTGAGAAGTGACTCCTTGTACCCAGAGCAGGCAACGGCTACACATGCTCGCCTCACCTCATCAGCAGCTTCGTGCCCGCCAAAAGTATAGTAGAACGGCGGAACCAGATGTTTCCAGAAACTATTTAGTAGCTTCAGTGACATTATCTTCCTTGGAGCAGCGCCGCTCACACAGACCAGACGAGGAACCAGGTGACGGTACCGAAACAATCAAGATCAAATCAACATGGAGGTACCCCAGCCTGCAGCAAACGGCCGACCCGACGACCTGATGGCAAGGCTCGTCGCAATCATCATCCATGAGCTGACAGCATGCATCTCGTATTGGCAACTCAGTGCAGATCTTCCGGGCTCGTGAGAGGTTGTGCGCCGAGGCTGTGGCGCCATCCCCCGCCTCTCGGAAGGGAGAGATAGAGATAACATGTCACTAACAGAGGGATTATGCATGAATATTGATGTCGTCATCTCCTTCCACGTTCGTAGGGCGTCAGTTAGGGGTTCACTTTGACCGGAGCGCCCAGTGATCGACTCGATAGGCGGGTCTCATGTGAGACTTGGCCTTTCACGTCGCTGTCCGGTCAACAAACAAGTTGTAACTTTTCGGCAGCAGACAGTCTTACGGCTTGACTAGACAATTTCTGACCTCGAAAACACCAGGATGACTGACCTATTTGAGGCAAAAAGTGTGTTGTCCTGAGATGCCGCCTCAACCTTTGCGGCCTACCCGGGCGGTTCTTGGTAAACTTAATCGATTACAACTACCGAGGAGGATTACATCTCGCATTATCTACCCTAGCAACGCAGAATGTTGGAAATGTTAGATTCTAAACAACGACATCCGTTTACGTCGCGGCATGTTGCATGCAGGTCTCCGTTCCGGCATGAAATCCTGTACCGAAGTTTTTCTTCTAGCATGCAATTGAAGAAGCAAGGGCAGACTTCGGCATTGTTCAGGCTAACGAAGCAAAGACTTCAGGAGCTATCTGGAACCAAACAAATGGGAACGATATCTTCAATACCTCAATGGACATTGATCGACGTGATAGCGGCATTGTTCGTGCGGAGATGGCAAAGCCCTTCTCCCGAGTGATCATATCTCCGGCTATTACTATTCCAGTGCTTTATCATGCTGTCTTTCGGAGATACATGTTAAACATGATACGTAAGAAGCTGGTTCCTTTTCAGACTATGCCAGTCTTCTTTAACACATCTCCTTTCCCATTTAGCTAGACAAGCTATTTCACATATTTGACAACTCCGCGAAACCTGAGCTCTCCTCCCCCAAATCATCCACAGCGCATTATCATTCTGATCTGCTGCATTATTCATTCATCGTCGTTCTACGATGTCTCATCTTAGCTTTCCCCGCTTTCCATGCCTCCCAGGCGAGATCAGAGACATGATTTGGAAGAACGCCGTTCGGCCTCACGGCTGTCGAGGCGTCCACTACTTCTCAGTGGTAGAAATTCCCATCGTCTCACTATTTACGGAGACCGAGATATTCGAACAGTGCCACCTTGTCGAAAGAGTCAGCGAGGGTCAAAAGCAGGTATTAGCTGCGCCACTCTCAACCGAAGACATGACGACGCCTTCTTGGACTGCCGGAAATCGTTCATCGTACGCTATCGACGGAGGCCTTTGGACCGCCTGCAAGGAGTCCCGCGCAGCTATGCACCGTAGGTATAATCCCACCCGAGGAGCTCCTAAGAGGAGAATTCGTTTCCCGTCAAACGATTTTGCCACCTTCAAAATCAGCGACGGCAAGAGCTACCAGTGGTTATCTGTTTCTTCCGAATCAGACTTGTTTGTCTTGCAATCCATTCGTTGCTTCCCAGACTTCATGCGGTTGTGCCAAGAGTTGCCTTTTCTCTCAAAGGAGGATGGACTCGTAGGAGTCAGACATATCGCAATCGGATTCGATCCCACATGGACCGTAGAGGAACTTCTCCGGTATGAAAGGATCACAGATTGGAACAACCCCAACCAACTTACCAGACAACGCTTCAGACAACAACTGTCATTCATGGGGCTTTCGAAGAACCGTTTCAATGAGTATGACTCATTGGTGCAAGCCTCAAGGTGTCTGAGGGGACGTAGAACTTCAAAGTTGTGGCTCATTGATAGCCGCTTGCGCCGAAAGCAAACAGTCATGCAAAATCATACAATGCGTGTCTTGGGAAACTGGTTGTATTCCGACCATGGCCAACAGGTTTTTGACGAGGACGGTTACAAGCTCTATGCGATGCCAGACTACGCCTCGAGGGATTTCTATGGAGACGATAACGACAACAGCATGATTGCCGCCGAAATTTCCCGCTTTGTTGCGGCGCTGGCTGTTGTATCAAGACATCAAGACGCGGTGCGGAGAAACGTCCCTGAAGATGATGGATATTCGGAGCGGCTTGGAATCTTGGTGAGAGAGTGAGAATATAGTGGTATACTGTGTCCGAAATGTGTCTTGTCCAATATGGGACTTGGCTCCGTGAAAAGAGGAGTTCTTAGGCAACCACGTGTGCTTGTGAAGTCCACGTACAGCAAACCGTGAATTGAGTTGAGGCTCGTCTAGCAGAGGAGGTTCAGTCAAGGCTCTGAGAGAATGGCAAAGGGTCTAAGATAGCAAGTAGTGTATTGTCTAGTTGGTAGAGATAATACTCGAACCTCGGTACAAATGGTGAGATGTAATGATTAGAAGTTGAACTGACGTCCTCATTGGTGCCCACGACTGTTTGACACGCATCATCGATCCCCATATCAACAGCTCACCTAAACGGCTAGAGATGATGAAGTTCTGGTGATAACCGCGCCCCTTTGTTTCCAGAGTCGCCCACCGCATGACTTGCGGTACCCGATTATCCGAGTTGACTGTTGCTAGCCTGAACCCAAGTGTTTTTCCGGAATCGCGAGTCGGGGCTTCTGTTCTAGTCTTATTCAATTTCTGCTCAACTAAATTCCAAGATCTAGCCCTGAGGTGAAATACGATTGACCCATGTCGGCGGATTGTGATGTTCCATATCATAACACTGACGCTTTCTTTCGAGGGAAGGTCCAGACGCTGATGGATCTTAGTGTACTTACTTTATGTTAGGTGGAGGAAGAACATCTCGAACGTGAAAAAGCTACTAGTAGCCAATTTCTCAGGATAGCTCCGTCTCGCAATCAACAGATCATTCACACTTAATCTCTCTTCCCCAATATGCGCCAACCATTTCGCGTGTAGTACGAACAGCTAGCGAAGATTGCAGCGGTGTTTGATTATTTAAGCTTTGTAAACCCTGCGTGGTTCAAGCGCCTTGATTGTATTGGCGGACTGTTCGTTGGCCCGAGTCCCAGTTTACAAAGGTTCGGAGCCGAATAACTCGCTTTCGTAAAGACCTGTTCTGACGTCCAGTCACAATAAGAACAACTATTAGAGCTTTGGGTCTTTTGCTTGTCTTGTACTGAATCATGTGTACCTGAATACGCGGACTACTCCGTGATTGTGGTGTGTACGGGATGGCCGATAGGATTGAGGTCACATAATCAAGCTGTCGATCAGCGTTCGCGAAATTTATCCTGCCGACATCCGTTCACCGGTGGGATGCTTCGCTGTAGTGGGCTTCTAGGGACAAATGAGCAAATCAGGGACTTGATTGCGTTGAACGTCGACCCGCCGGTACAAGTCATGTACAACATGTAATTAAGGCATAGCGTGTTCTTGGATGCTATCGATGGAAATTACCATGGCCGGTCAGTGGCCTTGAAGTCATCGTATGCAAGTATTTGAATCAACAATTTGGCCTGACATCTCTGATTTTCAAGCCAGCAACTCTTTGTCGTTGGGGCTACTAAAGCTTCTCATAATGATACCGTCCAACAGTCAAAAACCAGCCTTTTATCTTCCTAGAAATCCACGCCAAAATCTTTATAAAATTAGACCAATAAGGCACTAAGACGACAATAATGAAGTTCCGAGCCATCCTCTTCCTCGCAGCTAGCGCTTTCGCTGCACCTACACCGGAAGCAATTGCTGAGCCTGCGCCTGCGCCTGCCGATATTGGCGCCACAACCAAGGCCCAGCGTCTCCTGTGCTCCGGTCTCTGGACTGGAAATGACCTGAGCTTCGGAGACCTCAAGTGGGCCATGGAGAACCGTAGAGACGAGCTGCAGCTCAAGGCCGGATGGTGGAATGAGGTCAACACCGCCTGCAAATCGAGATGGCAGGAACATTGCGCAGAATGGTATTTGGATCACTTACAACCACGTACGAAGCAGCCAGGCGAAGACAACTCTGAAGTTCAATGGTGCAATCGTCTGTTCGCCGCAGAGCAGCTGGAGACTCAAGTGTGATAAGGCATGAGTGCGAATATCCACGACGAAATAGATAGTTGGCGGAGAGAGCCCTGGAAGCTCTCAGATAGTATACCTAGGGACGCCTATACAACCACGAGGCAGCATTTGAGCAATTACAATCATTAACGAGGCACTTTTTCTCATGATGATATCTTTCACAGGCCGGAATTCTTCCTAGTAAACCCACCGTATTCATCATACGTGGGTCATCTGTACCCTTGTTGAGAGCGATGAAGTTCACAACTTGGAAATAGCGGGCGTCCTGAAAATTGTCAGCTTATCAGCAGGTGTTGTTCACACGGACACTCCGGCATTATATGGTACTCTGGCCGAAAAAGGTTTGGTATTCGCATTTGTGGCGTCTGTATCAGTGGGCAGCTAGCTTTCAGCTGTTGTCGCGCATAAAGTTGTAGCCCATATCACTCCCACAATTACCTCGTCAACGCCCACCCTCCCCAACACCCATACAACCTGGTCTTCTGCAGCAACTTGGCCGCCTACAATAGAACAAGGCCCGAATGGAATGTTCTCAGCATCATTGCTGCAGACAATCTTTACAAAGTCTAATTGGCTTGCTGTGCATTCAGCCAGTTTGCACCGGTGAAAACAAGGCGCCATCTCCTGGATTGCCAATCTCATCTACTACGTAAGAACTTGTAGCCCCAAGGTGTCCAAAGATCTCTGAAAGATATGAAAACAAACTATACCAAGACACCCGCGATTGTTGAGGTGTTATGTCTTGAAGACTGTGCTTTCATTTTGCTTCACCGGCTACAGTCAAGAACGCGATGATCGCCATCTAGCAGTTCCCTCTTGGTGCATGGAACGCGCCAGAGATTGCGTATTTGAGAAATGATGGCCGTCACAAATGCTGATCTTATTTTCTTGCGAAATAAGGGGCTCGGAGAATGTTGTCTGTGAAAGTTGCTCCGCTGTGCTAAGTCAAAATGTTTCACACAAGCTGTCGGGTCTGGGAGCTGAATGCAGTCGGGGTCTCAGGTGCATCTGCTGGAACTTGACCATTGGTACCGAAGACCCCACATCTAACAGTCAAGCACAGTTTACTAGCCGAACGATGATTGGGCAAGAAACGGAAATGTTTCTGCCTTAGATAGTAAGTCTTCTGCGGGGAGACGCCTGCGACCCCGGCAGTGACTTTCAAAGTCATGTCGAGATGAACTCCACGCGGGGAAAGATGTGACCGCTTTCGGCCATATGGCTCGGTAGATTCGTCCCTATTCTAAGCGAGGAGTTCTATGAGTTAACGTGACAGAGACAGTGACCATTCCATTTGAGGTAACCTGTGCCCTGCGCGCGGGATATGTCTCGAAATCACCTCCTTTGCCATTTTAGGTCGTCACGAAGAAGCCAATCGGACACATCTACACTCTTCGGCCGACGCGGGAGGGCTGTCTGTGGCTGGCTCAGCTACGACAGCTAGGGATGCAAGCATGAGGACCCTGGCGTTTACCGACATCGCCTAGTTTCTCTCAACAAGCACATCAGGTCTCGGGCACCCTGCAGATCACGAAGCTGCGAATGCTGCTTCATCGCTATCGCAAGCCATCGTTCTTGCCGGTAGGCTTCTTTGGGAGGAAATGGACAGAGATTGGGATCTTGCTAGTTTGGTTCGGTGCTGCTTTTGGAAGTCAGCCATACTTCAGCTGTGTCTCAGCCTCTTAGGAACGAAAGTTTGGCTGATCATGCCCAAACGCGCGGTATCGATGACCATTCTTTGAGATTAGCAGAAGCTGAGGTGACGGACGAGCTTGCCCGGCGAGTTCAAGGCCTTAAAAGTCCCGCGTCGCATGTGCGTTCTCGCCTGCCCAAATCCGGCTCGATCAATTTGTTGATATTTCCCTTACCCCATGGCCGAGGGCTTCTACCAGTCTTTGGATTCTACTCTTGCTTCACACTTTGGACTACACGGCAACATGGCGACGACTCACGACCACAACCACGACCACTCCCAAACACACTTGGGAGTGGACGTTGACATCCCTACGCCGATCACTCCCGGCGAGTCGGATTTGCTGACAAGCGAGATGTCGGGTCTCACCATCAACGAACGAAGCCGACCTCGTCTTCTCCCGTCTTACCCATCCGCAACATCTCCTCGTACAAGCAGTCCTACTGGGTCCGTCAGGAGCGCGTATACTACCAAGCGTCGCGTCAGCCGTCGTTCCTATAGCAATGAGTTCCATTCAAGCTCTCACAGCTCCAGCTTCAGTTCCGAAGTGTCGAAGGAGCTCACTCGACAGGCAGAGCTTGAGTTCGCGGCGCTCACGGAACTCATGTCTAGCATGTCGAGGCGAAGCATGTCGTTGCGCGAAGTCTGGAGCAAGATCATCACCGAGCGCGAGTCTGTTTACTCTGAGATGCATCGCATGACTGAGCGCTACGAGGAGTTGACTGAGGTCATGGAGCGCAAGGAGAGGGAGCATAGTCACCACAACCACGAGCGTGAGGGCCAAAAGCAAGAGCTTGTTAAGGTGCGCCTGGAGCTCACTGCAGCCATCAACAGCGCTTCTAAGTTCAAGTTGGAGCTATCTGCACGAGACAACGAGTGCAAGACGCTCCGACACGAGATTGCCGAAGCCAAGGATACCTACACCTACATCAAGAAAGAACACGAAGAGCTGAAGAAGACCTCTGAGCAGACGAGACTCACCTTGGTGGCCACTACAGCAGCCCGTGCCGATCTTGAGGATCAGTGTGGCAAGTTGCGAGGCGAGCGTGCGGACATGGACCTGAAGCTCACCGAGCTGACCTCCAAGCACGAGGAGATCACCACCAAGTTTGAGTCGAGTCACAAGGAGCTCGTAGACATTAGGAAGAGCCACCTCATACTCAAGGAGGAGAAGCACGAGTGGCTCCACAGGCGGGGTGAGCTTGAGGACCACATCCGGAAGTGCGATCACAAGTATGATGAGCTGAAGCGGAAGTACAAGGAGATTGAAGAGATGTACGAGAAGAAGAAGTCTGAGGTCAAGGAGCAGCAGGAGACTGTCATTAGAGTCAAGAACGAAAAGGAGGAGGCCATAACCAAGGTCAAGAGTGAGAAGGAAGAAGCCATCACTAGAATCAAGAACGAGAAGGAGGAGATCATCATCAAGATTCGGAACGAAAAGGAAGAGCTCGAGCAGTACATCATCAGACTCAAGCGTGAGCTTGAGGATGAGCACTGCCGGTGGGAGGCGGCCGAAGACAACTGCGGCAAGTGGAAGCTCAAGTGGGAGCATTGCGACCGTGAGATCATTTCCCTCCGCGAAGAGATCTCTCGTATCGAGATTTCATGCACCGAACTGCGGGAAACCATCACGAAGAAGACGGAAGAGCTTCGTATTCTCATCATCGAGAAGAAGCGCCTCAAGGATGAGGGCGAGCGTGCCGTCGGTCGCGCCAACGAGAACCATCGTCAGCTTCTCCTCGTACAGGAGACCCTCAGCCACACTGAGAGCATTCTGAAGAAGTCGCAAGAGGAAATCCATACCAAGACGGAACGCATCGAGCGTCTTGACTGCGACCTGGGTGACTGCAGGAAGCAGATCGAGAAGCTCCAGATCGAGATCGAGAGTCACCAGTCCGCTTCGGCTGTGCTCAAGATTGAGGTCGAGACGCTCAACAGCAGGTGCGGCGCCCTCAAGGCCAAGTGCCACGAGTGGGAGGTCAAGTACGAGGAGGCCTATGAGAGCATCACCGAGATTGAGGAGGGAAGCTCCAGCTACGAGTACGAGATTTCGGCTATGCGTACCATGCTACGCGAGGCGAGGGAGCAGAAGGAGACTGCCATCACCGCACGCAACACGGCCGATCGCGAGCGCGACGAGGCTGTGGTGAGATTCGAGGAGAAGTGCAGGGCGATGGAGAGGTTGGAGGAGAGAATGAGTGCGCAGATGCATGAATTGAACCGATCTGGGACCAAGACTACTACGACGAGTACCACTCGGAAGTCGGGTCATCGGGTGAATAGTAGCGGCAGCGGCGTCATCTGCGTTGAGACCTGACATGGTGATCGTTGGCAGGATCGTGGGCACAAAATTTCGACCTGGCAACAGCTTTTTTCTTTGTAAACTTCACAAACATGACCGGTTCTGAGTTATTGAATGGTCATTAAGCTAGTGCTAGTAATATCACACGTACACTCCAAGTTCCTCCCTCACTTTGCTCAAGCGGCCGTGATTCGTAGCCTGTGTGAGCAAATCATCAGATCCATTTGAATGCTCATGGTAATAGCTCTTATTATATCTGTCTCCATTCGCCTTTTGGTATATCTCCGTGTTTTCAACCTAGGCCCTGGGTATTATTTAATCTCGCTTGCCTTTTCCTCTAGCATCCTCCTCATCACTGCTCGTCAGCGTTGCCTCACTTGGGTTGATCCTGAAGCTAAAGTCCACAACACCAACCAAACTGCTCACAGACCGTACCAAGCCCTCCAAGTCGTCGCACACAAGCGAGCTGCAAACCTGCAGCACCGCGAACTCAGTATATCCGTGTTGCTCTACGTTCCTTACGTCGAGAATACTTCCGCTGCCAAGAGGGCTGACCATCTCCGATAACTCGGGCATACCCCCAATCGTTGAAGTATCGCTCGTCGGCGACTCCACCACCGACCCCACCACGCTGGGCTTCCGACCTGAGGGGCGCACTTCAGATCCTGTGCGGGTGTGGACCGTGACAAGCCTGTGCTCGAGCTCACTGCCTCTTCTTTGCATGGTCCGCGGCTCTGGGTCAGGGCCCTTGAGGTGGAGGAGCTTGCGGGTGAGCTCATTCGGTCTCGGAAGTTGCATGAAGGGCGGTAGTGATTGACCCGACAGTAGTGAGTTGGACAGGAGCGTGAGCGTGGAGAGAATGGTATGTTGCGTCGGCTCAATTCCCGCTAGGACCTGATTGAGAGCGCGCAGCCAGGCCCGGTCACTGTCTGAAGAGGGACTGGCTGGCCTGTCACGCGGCTTCCATGTGATGGTGTAAGCAATCAGCGTCAGGTACCGCATGGTGCTGGTTGACCGTCTGATGATATCTTCGTATGTAGCCCTAGGGAATTTGCCGCCGATATCCGGTTCCCATTTCTGCCATTGCGCATGCTGGTCCAAGCTAGGGAGCAGCAGTAGAAGCTTGCCTAGGATGCGACGCCTTTCCTTCTCCATCTTGTGAGCAGGTGTGCCGGGCTTCTTAATGTCACCGTGAGTCTCTTCCATCGTCGCCTTGATCGTCTCAGTTACGACACTGAAGTAGTTGGCGAGGAGATAGAGCGAGGCGCTGAGATCCCGTCGGAGCCAGCGCCGGTCGGTGATGGGAGCCGGGAAAATGGTCCAGATGAACGCGATGAAACAACCAGCCGCTACACAGGCAAGACGATAGGGCGCCAGGAGGTAGGTAGGATAGTACGGCTGTCCCGTGGCTGCGGCGGCCTTTTCTCCGATCTTCTGAACCTGCAGCTCATACCCGATAATGAGTACTTGAGTGATAATTGTGATGAGCCACACAGGCATGAACCGCGGATACTTCAAAATAAAGTACTGCTCGATGAAGATGAACAACCAGAGGAAGACGATGACTCCGGCGGTGCGCTCGACAACGATGTACCAGATGATGTAGGAGAAAATTACCGCAACGCAAGTTCCACCGACTCGACATACGAATCCAAAAATGGACTGGCCGGCAGTGATGGTCATGCCAATAGCAATCATGATCATGGCCCAAACCAAGCGTTGCTCAGTGAAGAACGTCTGGGTGCTCTGCAGGAAAGCCATGATGCCGACTGTCATGGTCGCAATGGCGACACGGAAGCCAAAGAGCGATTCACCTGATCCGACAAAGCCAGAAAATGCCCTCACCGAGTTCCCAAAGTGTTGCCAGACGCCGTGAGCAGGGAGATGTTCGGGGTCCTTCTTCTTGTTATACCCATCACCGGCGTAGACGATATTCGCGCCCATCTCAGCGATATCCGGCGTCTGCTCGGGGGAAGCGTCCTCGGTGCTGCAGATACCCTTGAACCATTTCTTGAGACGCTTCTGAGAAGGGATGATCAAGCGCTTCTTTGCCATCGTGCCGTCAGCCACTTTTGAGTCTGCGAACATGACCAGATCCTGCACTGCTTCGCCAAGGGCGAGCATAAGCTTTTCCATGTACAGCATCACATAGAGCTGCGTCTGGTCGCGCTCCCGCATCCTGGTCTCGAGCTTCTTCAGGTGAAGATCCTGGCGTTCCTGTTCTGTCGCGAGCTGCCTCTCCTTCAACCAGTTTCTGAGCAGCTCTCCCTTCTTGTCGTTGAAATCCTGCACCCTCTCGGCGAGAACTTCAGCGAATCCGGCTTCGCCTGGCTTCGAGGTCGCCTTGGCACCGGCATCCATCTCCACGTCGGCCCCCTTCGTCTTCTTCGGCTTGGGTGTGAGTTCGAGGACGATACCGACGTGATCGAGACCCTGGTCCATCGCTTCCGTCAGGATTTCGAATGGCTCCAGCAATTGGAGCATGATATCGTTCCAGACTCTCTTTTCCCGTTCCTTCTCCGTGTCCGAGTCACCGTTGCCATCATTAACACCCCATCCGTGCTTTTCGGAGGCTCGGCGGAAAATGTCGACAATCGTGCTGATGCCGTTCAATGGGATCATGATACTTCGCAGGAGGTTGAAGATCTCGCCGATATCCTTGGAGTTGAGCTTGCCGTAGGCGATATCCCTCTTGGCGAAGAGGATGTCTCCGTGCATCTTTCCAAACAGTGCCGAAATCGCCAAAGCCGTAGCCTTGAGCTCGCCGGCGGCCTTCGCCTCCTTCGTCATCTCGGGCTTCTTCTGCTTCTTGTTCTTCTTGAAGACGTTGCTGCTCTTCGTCTGGTGACGCTCGAGCATATCGGGACTGGATAACGTCTTCAAGTAGTTGAGTTGCAGGGCAATAGACTTGCGAACAAGCCCAATGGCGCCCTTGAATTCACCGCTCACCACCTTCCTGCTGGAGACGGGGAAAACGAAAAGTGAGACACCGGTAGCAATACCCATGGCGCAAAGCATGGCCACGGTCAGCCGCTTCACAAGCGACTCGGCGGCTGCGGTGGTCACCATGAGCGGGCCAAAAGTGCAGGCAACGTTCATAAAGATGGAGTAGATCATGACAGGCAGGTTCATCGCAGGGTATTTAGCTCTCAGGGTATTTGAAATCCAAATGTTGAAGAACAGCCAGACGCCGCAGACGGCTGACTGACTTGAGTTGTAGACGGGCAATCCGGTGGCCAGTTCCTCGGCGGAGGCGGTGTTCCTTCGCGCCTGGACACCGGACCATAGTGCCAGCATCGACAAGGCGCCGCCGATGCAAATTCCAGTGACATTGAGGACGAGGTTCTGAAGATATTTCCCTCTGGGAAGAATGGCCAGCGCCAGTACTGAGATAATTGGCACGAGATAGCCCAGTGTTGTGAAGTACTGTGCCACGGGCGTGGATTGGTAGATGGCGATGCCGATCAGGGGCGGTAGTGAGCCCTTGAACATCATGATGAGCGTCGGCGCGTCAAGGCCCAATCGCGCCGCCAGGCCCGGCTTTGGCGCCGGTTTCTTTGTCGCCTTACTTGCGGTCGTCGGTGACCGCGCCGGGACGCCATCCGGATGAGTCTCAGTCTCTGGGGACTGCGACTCGGTGTACCGGTCAGCGTCCGGCTTCTGTTCGTCGGATGCCATGGTTCCAGTCGTTCTTTGCGTTGACGTTTACGGAATCATCGGCCCTTCGAGCGAACGAGCGGACAGCTGTTGATTATTCGATTATGTCGTCGTGCCCGTAGATCAGTCGAACATAATGGTCTCTTGAAGTCTTGTCTCTGAGTGTTGCGATGATTTTGGGTTGAGTTTTCGCCCGGGCGGAGGGTGGGCGGTTTGTTTTGTCTCATTGGAGAATGATGTAATTGCGGAGTTCGCCGCGTCTATCTAGCCTTCTATCTACGCGCAGTACAGAAATCATAGTGTGCACGAATCCAGCACTGCAGGCAAGTGAATGCCGACAGAGTTTGCGCTAATGCCGTGTTTTGTGGACTTTGTACTCGTTTTCGGTCAAGAGGGGGAGGGAAGATTACGGCGTAATAAGACCCAAAATAGCTGGTGGCCTCTAAGAAGCCTCTACTCAAGGTGAGACGAGTCAGGATTCATGCACAAGCACGGGCCTTCATCTCAACGGTAGGACAGGGTGAGCCTGTGAGATGAAGTGAGATTAGATGAGATGAGCAGATCATTCAGTCTAGAATCATGTCTTTCGAGTTGTCGAAATACAGAATCTGCGTTCATGATTTTTGCAGAGAGAACCACGATCGCGACCCTCATGAGCATTGGCATGGGGATGTGAATTATACATCTTACTCACGAATTGACAGGGGATGAGTAAGCCATACTGACACCTCATCTAGCGGCCAGAGATGAGCGTTGCTATGGTGACACCAGCATCTGACCCCTCATCCTCAGCGCAGCGAAAGCTCGATGAGTCCTCAGAAGCTCAATCAATGGCATTGGGAGAACTCCCATGGAACCATGGTGCAGTAGTATTGCTCTTCCCAATATTCACAATAACGCTGAAGGTCCGTAAACCCCTATCGGAGGAAATGAATGAAAACAGTTCATTCGCATGTATCACCCCTGCATCTCAGCCCTAACGGGCTTGAGAACCCCGCCACGTCGACTTCCCAACCACAAGCCGGCCGGTGTGTCCGGCAAAGCATAGTGGCAGAATTATAGCCAGTTCCGAGATCGTCCGCGGATTGTTGAGACTGCCCCCCGGAGAGCAACTCCGTAGTACCGCCGAAAACTTCGTCGGTCATCGAAATAATGAATGCCAGCCGTCTTGGATGAGTGCCGTGAGGCGGGTCCGCTCAAGAACTGAGGATCCCATGCAACTAACTGCTGATGAGTCAGCCACGCCTCATGTCGGGTGGACAACACCACCATTTTCCCCGCACCCCGGATTCACTCCGGCAAGTCGCCGCGCTGGCGATTAGCACCGGGGCCGCTGAGGCGAATCGAGGTGGGGAAAG